CCGATACACCAGCATTGTTTTTATGCATAATTTGTTTTAAAAATATCATTTACATACAGGAAAATATCTGTATTTAAGTGGACATTTTGATAATTTTTACACAATCCTCATCAAGGTACAGAAATTTTTATACCCCCCCCCCAGTTTTTCATTTGTCTCCTTCCAGACAATCTATACCATAAGACGTAATATTATTCTGGTTTCTATTATAGAATTGTCTGAATCGATATGTTGAACATTCCAGCTCCTCAGGAATTCCCTGTATGTATCTGAGTCAGTACCTTGACCAAATAGGAAACTATACTCTGGCTTTTACCACCCTTGAACAGTTTGAGCTCTCCTTGAAGTGTTCATGGAAGTGAATTGTTGTGTGTTCTTCTTGTGCATATGTTAATTCTTTGAGATATACCCATTTTGTTGTGTGTTGGTAGTTTGCTCCTTCTTTCTTTCTGAGTCATGTTCTTTTGTATGGATGTGCATCAGTCTGCTGACCACAGTGTCCCCTCGGCTTGGCTCTCAGGCCTTCCCCATCCTCCTGAACTCTCTTCTTCAAGAGCTTCTGTGTCAGCTCCTCTCACCCCATGCTCCTGTGTCTTAGTTCTTGAGGAAGGCTGGAATGTTGACTCCGTGTAGCCAAGATTATGTCTGTGACCAGGTCAATGTATAACGTGTCATGTGTACACGGTGTCTGTGGAATGAGTGCATGAATGAATGAATGCTTGTTCAGAGCACAGAGTTTTAATTGTTTACCCATCAGTTCCTAGACACCATCCTAAGCAATGGAGACCACTGAGACCTCTAGGGAATTTTCTTCACACACAGACTTAACATGAGTAACTTGCCCCACTAAACCACTCTCCAAGTTTTGTCTGAAAGACCTTTGCTAACTTTAAACTAGCTGAGGTCCCTTCCAAGGCCCTGTAATTACTCTGTCGTCCCCAGAATGATCTTTATTCCAGTTTGCCATTGTTGCTTCTCTCAGCTGCCTTATCCTTGGATTCCATAGCACAGGGAGTCTGCATATCTCTTCACCACTAAGTTCTGGCCACTCAGTGCTCTGACAGGCACATGAGATGCACAGCTACGTGGTGGTTGAGAGCTTTCACAGTAAGTTCTTTCTGCCAGGTTGTTCAGTGAAAGACCCCAGTCAGTTAAAGCCTTTTGTGTAAAGGAAAGTGGACTTGAAAACAGGGCCTCTGTGGAAGTTTTCTATAGAACCTGTATCATTTCTTGGGTATGTCATGTCTTTGTCCTTTAAATATTTAAACACAAATATTAAATCTATGAAGATGTTGGGTAGGTTATGATCATGGGACTTAGATATTTACTTGGCATTGTGCTGTGAAAATCTTAGTGTTTATTTTTTCCCAAGATTTGAGAGCTGGGGAGCCTGAAAGTGCTAATCCTGTGACTCCTCCATCAAGTGTCCTTCCAAGACTGCACTTCCAGCCATGACCCTTACAACAAAGAGTAGTTTAGAGTCCCAAAGAGGTGCACATAATTTGGGCATGTGGCCTGCCAGCAGACTGTCTGTAGAGTTCCTCTGTTTTCAACATAGACCACTCAGAGGTTTGTGCATGGGTTTCAGAAAGATTTGTGAATTCCTAGAATTATATGCAGAACTCCGGGCTATGTGCTTTTGTGTATATTTTGTGGGAAAAGAGTTTGAATTTTCATGATTTCTTTAGGGCCTATGTTCTACCCAAAGTTCAAAATTACTGTCCTTAATAACTCTTCTTCTTAAGTACATAAATATCTCCAGTACAGGAGAAGAAGGGGATAGACAGTCAGCTGATCGTGCTCCCCCTCTTTTGCTTCTGGTTTAACAGAACACGATCCTTCCCTGTACCTCAGTTGCCTTCCTGCTGACTCTGGTCATCTAAATTGGGTTGAGTGGCTACTTTCATTACTTTCATTGCCTTATGAGAGAGTTCATCTCAGTTATGGAGGAGAGTTGATACACTTAGACGTGATTTTTCGATACCTTCAAAAAATGGTGTGCCACCTACTTAAAAAAATACATATACTATGCTTCATTCTTGCCTTTTTCTCTATGAACTACTACAGTGGATCACTGGCAAGAGAGAGAACAAAACAAACCAATAATCTGATAGTTTCCTGGTGCCAGAAGCAGGAGACAATGTGATGGACTTATATGATCTATTTTGGAGGGTATGGGAGGAGAGATAGAACCATGGTGATTTGTATGTTCATGGACTTGTAAACCTGCAAATCACTGGACAAGGAACATTCATATACTCAAGAGGATGTTTGCTATTTATACTTGTACTTACCATTGAAAATACATGAAAAGAGACCAAACATTTGGAGAGATTAATACTTTATTTTCTTTCTGGTGGTCAGAAATTGAAAACTGCTAATGCCTGAAATAGGAGAGCAGCAAACCATGGTGAAAAGTCGATGGAGGAGAGTGTAATGTGGCCACTTTCTCAGCCTCCAAAGCATTGAAGTTTGCTGCTCTTAATTTTGTCCAGAGCCAGTCTGTGAATAATTGTATTAAGGAATTAGGCAGTGTCATCACAGAGCTACAAAATATCACCCTTGAGGCCTCATTGGAGACTGATGGGAACTCTGGAGAGTTGATAATGGTGATCAAAGGGTCTATATATTTAAAATGCACAAAGGATGAGCCTAGAAATTATCTGCCTGCCGACTTAACTTCTCTACCTGGAACAAATTATCCAAAAATCAATTTGCAAACACCTTTGAGATAACAAGGTCTTGAGTAATAACCTCCATGGCTTTCGGAAGAAAAGCACCTACCTTGACTAATCTGCTTAATTTCGCTCCTTGACCAAATGGCAGGCTATAATAGAGGCAATCTGAATTTGTCTCTTAAGATTTGCTTTGAGTCACACTGAGAAAATATTGTCTACTCCTGTTTTATAGCAAATTATTCTGTTTCTGGAGAATCTTTGCTACTAAGTAATTAATTAGAAGAAAAATGCTGAATAAATCTCTGTCCTAAAGCCCTCACCTGAGTTCAAACTAAAACTCAGATCTGCCTTTCCATATGTGATTATTCTAGAGCCTTACCAATAGTACCATGTTCTTGCACAAATCCACAGTGTGTAACAGATACCTCCCTCACTCTTATTCCTTGTTCTACTTTAAGAATCATTGACCTGTTTATAGTTTTTGACAGATCATCCCATTCCTGGCATTTGTTCCTAAGACCATATCCAACAAGAAAGACTGAAATCATTTTCACAAAGATGTTCCTTGCAGCATTGTTTACCATAGCAAAATTTAGAACAACTTGTGGGTCCAAAGAATGGACACTAATTAGTATGATAACTTGATGGACTGTTCTGTAGTTACTAAAGCTAGTGACAGCAAGATCCGTATAATTTATAAACAAAAAAATCCTTAATGTTGTAGTAACCTTCCTGTTACTGGGACAAATAACCAACATTCACAATTTAAAGGAGAAAATGTTTGTTGTAGCTTATGGTTATAGTCTTTATTTATCTTAGCTCCAAGGCTGAATGGCATAGTGGAAAGGCCCAGTGTAGAGGATAGCTGCTTATTTCATGGAGATCAGAAAGCAGAGAGAGAGGGAAGGAGCCATCGAGGAGGAGTTTCCCTTTCAGGCCACACCCCAGTGACCTGCCTCTTTCAACCAGGCCCTGCCTCCCAACAGGACACTTACCTGCTGGATTCACCAATGGATGAATCCTTTAGTGAGTACAGCACTCTAATAATCCAACCCAACCCGGTCGCCTTCCAAAAGCCTCACTTCTGGGGCACATGAGAGTTTTGGGGTTCAAGTCAGATTCCAGAGCAACATTTAAGATGTAATAAGTGAGGGCAGAAAAGTAAGTCTACATTGAAGCTATGTATTATTTGTAACCATATGAAAAATAGAACTATGGGAATAAATAAAAATGGAAATGAAACATGGAGAAATATAAATGGCCGTTATGTTGGGTAGTAAGGAAGAAGACGTATTCTGTTTCTTTTCATTGTCTTTATCCTTTCACTTCTGTAGGTGCTACAAATTACAATAAACATCCAATTTTCACTTTTGTAAGAAAAGAGCATGAGAAGCAAGTAGTCTTCGGGGAGCATAGCAGACCTGGGAAGGCATGCTGATGTGGGGTTTGATCCTGCATTAGCTGTCCCATGCATGACCTTGGTTGGCGACCTGATCCTTTAGGTTTTCAGATTTTTATCCAAAGATATGAAGGTGGTAATGTTCCAAGGATTACATAAAATAACACATCTGGAATTTCCTGGCATATAAGAAATACCCAAGAAATACCTCATTTCTACAGCTTTGCCAATAGGCTACAATAGTCAGAAAGAGGTCACCATAAGTGCCTGTTGCAATTCTGGTCTTTTTAGCTGACTCTATGGAACTTAGTGGAAGGGAGGCAGTAACACACAGCACATACAAGATAACTCAGTAGGACTTTTTCTTTGACCCTGGGTTCCTGCTGGGCCCACTGTGACCAACGTACTTTCTCTGCTGGAAGGAACTTTCTAGGTGGAGGAAGAAGCAGAATTTTTGCTGTACCATCATCCTTTTTCTACCTAAAGCTCATATCACCATTTGGGAGGGCTTCCACTAATTTGTAAGGATTCTAGCATAAGAAATGCTTATAATTTCAGACTCCCCTGGGTTTTGAGCCCAACTGCACTTCAGTAAAGGCAGATTCTCCTTTGTGGATAGAAAGAAGAGTCTTAGACAGATTGTTCTGGTTTGGAAAATTCATTTCCTCACATTGTCTTTTTTCTTTTCTTTCTTTAAATGAAGGAGGTAAGGACATGCTGGGTAAAGTTACTGAAGAAATACTGGTTAAATCATTTACAGACAAAATCTTGAAAATTGAAGTAGGGTGTAAATGGGGTTGATCATGAGATGTTGATCATTTTTTATGGCTATGTCTGAAATTGTGTTCCTTAGCTTTATATGCTTGAATTTTGCTGTATAAAACTTTTGAGACTGAGTCCTTTGCTTGTTGCTTGCCTTGCAGAGCCTCCCACACCCATTGCGCCCCCAGAGCTGCTAGCAGTGGGGGCCACCTACCTGTGGATCAAGCCAAATGCCAACTCCATCATTGGGGATGGACCCATCATCTTGAAGGAAGTGGAATACCGCACTACCACAGGCACCTGGGCTGAGACCCACATAGTCGACTCTCCCAACTACAAGCTGTGGCATCTGGACCCCGATGTGGAGTATGAGATACGGGTGCTGCTCACAAGACCAGGTGAAGGAGGAACTGGGCCTCCAGGGCCTCCCCTCACCACCAGGACCAAGTGTGCTGGTAAGAGTCTCCTTCCAGAGCTCAATTTGAGGGATTGGGCTGTTGCTGTGATTGGTCTTCCTGTGACATAGTGTCTATAAATTTCTTTGATGTGAGCATGCTTCCTATTGTGGAGTCAAAACAGTCAGTGTTTTGGTCTTCCTTAAAGAGCCTCCTGATTCTGACTGTAACTCTATGACCCTTTTGACTTTAGCGGCATTATGGAGACTGTCTTTGGCTGTTTTTGATAATTTTCACAGGGGATATGGCTATGTAGCTGTGGCTGTGAGGATCCCTGGTGCCATTTGTAATCTGAGGCTTTCTAGTGCTAATATTAATGTCTTAGAGGGGGCTTTGACCCTGTTTCTCTGAGGGCTCCTCGCTCTGTCCTCCTTGAAGGCCTCAAGTACATGACATTCCTGTGAGTTTCTGGTTTCGGGTATGTATCTTATCTGTATCTAAGTCTAGTTTTGTCCCTGAGGATCCTTGAGAGGGCCTGTGACCCATGGATTTGGTAATTTTGCTGATGGCTCCCAATTCTAATTTTTTCTCTTGGGGGCTCAAGGTAACAATTGTGTCTTCAGTGTCTCCTGGTTCTGGCAGTGTCTCTAAATTGATTCTAGAATTGTCTTAGTCCCTCCAAGCTTCCTGGTTCTGTATCTTCTGGAGGCTCCTGGCTCCTACCTAAGAGTGAGTTGGGAATGTTACCCTAAGGGTCCTCTGAATTGTACCATATCTCTGTGGGCTGCTGGCTATGACTGCTGCTGTGATGTTTCTGGATGCTGCTTAAGAGTTTGCTGGCTGGGGCTACATCTAAGAAGATTCTTTGGATTCAACTGTATCCCTGAGGTCTCCTGGCTTTACCTGTATTTCTATTGAGAGGCTTTTTTTTTTTTTGGTTTTTCTCTGGTACCGGGAACCGAACTCACGACCTTGCGCTTGCCAGGCAGGTGCTTTTGGCGCTGAGCTAAATCCCCAGCCCCTCGAGAGGCTTTTGGCTGGGACTCTATCCCAGAGATGGTCTGAGCTGTGAATTTAACTCAAGAAATTAAAAGAAGTTCATGTTTATTTTTGAAAATCATATTATTATCTATTGTTTTTACTCCAGCCATTGACTGTAAATACTTTTATCTCATATATGCGTGAAGGAATAGAGGCTCAGCGTTTTAAAAGTTTTTGTCTAAAGCGATAGTATTAACCAGTGACACAGTGAGGATTTGCTCTCAGGTTTCCTGAATGGAATGCCCTTGTTCTTTGGTCAAACAAGAGTGAATAAATAGAGAAGCAGATGCTGTTGGCATGGCATGTGGAGCAGGGGTTGCTGTGCTGGGGTATGTGATCAAGGAAGCAGGCAGCATGGACTTCGTAGGGAAAAAGATATACTGATGTATTCTAGGGTGGAGGCAAAGTGTGTGTGTGTGTGTGTGTGTGTGTGTGTGTGTGTGTGTGTGTGTGCGTGCACACTTATAAAGAATCTATGAGTACAACAACATGGAACAAAAAGCAGAGTATCAGTTCTGCTACAACTGAAATGTGTTTCTCTAAAATGCACTGTAGCTTGACCCGTTATACAATGAACTCGTGGGCTCATGAGAAGAAATGGGGCAAGAGGCACCCATACTTACCTATTAACACATACAAAAGAAAAGAACTGAGTAAAAATGATGGTACACTTTTACACATATTAAATAGCTAAAAAATGCATAAGTATTACAATACACTTAGTAGACACCTTGAGAAAGATTTGTAGTTTGCTTGTAGGTCAGAAATCTGAGGGATTGCAGCCTGAGTTACCATGAAGTATTAGAAGAAAGGCTATTTGAGGTTGATAGAAAGATATACTACCAGGGATGAATGGATGTGGTTTATAGCTGAGGGAGCTGGCAGGCATTAGAAGGATGTGCTCCTCTTTTGTGTATTTTTATATGGCCCCATTCAGCTGGGTACAGTTTTTCATGTCACTATATACAAAATCACACATAAACAAATGTAGAATTCATGATATACCTAAATTAGTTCCTCAGAGATCAATTTGAGAGCACATTTGAGTTTTCAAAACCAAATGCTATTGCTAGGTATGTTGGCACTTGCCTATAGTTTCAGCTACTCAGGAGGAGGATTGCAAATTCCAGGCTAGCCAATGTAGTGAGGCCCTGTCTCAAAATTTAAAAAGAAAGATCTATCTACCTCTCTGTCTGTCTATCTATCTATCATCTACCTACCTATCTCAGTAGTAGAGTGCCCCTGGGTTCAATCCCAGTACTGAACAAAACAAAACAGAACAAAATGTTATGAAGGAATTGACTATATCCATTGCTAAGTATCTCAGTAGTGGATCTCATAGTACGTAAGCCAGGGTATGGTGAATATTTACATGGCTTGGAAATATCCTTTGATGTTATTGAACTACCATGATAAACAGAGATGCTATTTTCTTGACTATTTTCAAAATGAGCCTTTGGTAAAATTCCTCACTGAAACCTGATTATGAAACTTACTATTTTTAAAAGGACAGAAGGGTATGTTATGAAACCAGGCAATACCTTATCTCAGCTTTGTAATGCAATAGTCATCCATTAAATAGCTGATTTGATCCTGCTGATGAGACTTGTCTCTTTCCATGGGGTAAATATAAGAGTTTTCAGGGGTTTGATCTTTATAAATGATATTTAAAGTATTTTAGCTGTCCCTCTGGACCTACTTGCTGATGATCATATAATGCATTTTGAAATTCAATCGCAAGATGATCATCTCAATAAAAATTTACAATCTATTGCAAACAGTTGCCACCATTGTGTAATGGATTTTGCATGTTGAAAGCACAATAGTCTATCACTATAACAATTATGAGTTAGAATGCTGTTTCTGGGATTATATTACAAGAAATGTTGGTGTTTAAGTAAGTTACAGCTAAAATCTTGACTAACACACATTCTACAAAATGTGTCATAAAGAAAACAAGCTTCTTTCTCCCATTGCCACTAGTGGCAGAATGTTCTTTGCTTTGTAATTAATTTTTAAGAGAATTCCAGGGCTGCTATCCATTTATGGATGCTCTTTGTTGGCATACACAGTCTGAAATTTTAGCCTTTCCCTATTCTATTATTAATCACACTGGAAATGTACTCATTATTTTGTGAAACAGAAAAAGAAAGTGTGGAATGTGGAAAGTATAATTTCTGCCCAGAGGAATATACAGGCTAGGTTAAAATTCTAGCAAAGCAGCAGAAGGGTGTAAAACATAAACATGAAGTCTGGTATTGAAAGATACACTTCATAGTGGAACAGTATCAATGTGCAAACAGCAATGCTCTTAGAATCATCTAGAACCATTGTTCTCAAAGTATTGCTAGTGACTGAATATTCCACCAAAAGTCATGTCTTAGAACCTAATCCTCAGCATGATGATATTATGAGGTGAGGGCCTGAGGAAGGTGATTAAGTCATGAATGGGATTCCCACATTTATAAATGGGACCCAGAAAGCTTCTGCGCTCCTTTGTATATGAAGACAAAGTGAGAAGTTGAGCTCAAGACCCTGAAAGTAGACCTTCGCCAGACACCTAACTTGCTAGTGCCTTAACATTGTATTTTCTCCTCTCCAGAACTGTAACAAACAAGTTTCCATTGCTTAGAAATTACCCAGTTTATGGTATGTAACAGCAGCCTAAAGGAGTTAAGACAAGTGTCATGTGGAAACTTGTTAGAATGCAAATTCTCAGACCCAGTCTCCTCATCTGGTACATCAGAAATTCTGAGAGTCAGGCCTAGAAATTTCAGAGTGCTGCTTCTGCACACCAAAATGTAAGAGTCACTGATACACAATGACACGTTGACATGTCCGTTTGGTGATATGCCTATTATGAAGCTTGATCCTACAGGCTGCTCTGAGAGGTAGACGGGAGGAAGACTGAAACTCAGAATTATTGGGTCAAGGTCACAGATTGTGTAAGTGCTTAGAGCTACATCTCTAAGCAGTAACCATGGTCTCTGAACCACGTGGATCCATGTAGTGTTAATTAATCCTGGGGAATTCTTCTGCTCACAAGTGTCCTTTGGAGGGTGCGGTTGGGTGATAACGGCAGAAACCAGCTATGAATGAAGGTCTGTGTGTGTCCTTGGCATCAAGCAATTACTGAGTGCTCTCTGTATGCCAAACTTTGTGCTAGGCACTGGTGGCAGAGTATAGCTTACCAAGGACATGCTAGACATGCAGGCAGAGGCTCAGCAGCAGTACATGATCACCTCAAGTGTTCCTCAAGAAGATACCAGGGGCCAATTGGCAAGGGCAGCTGGGTATTCTGGCTCTACCAGATCTGACAAAGTCGTGGATCAGCTAGATCTTTGGGGCACCAGGAGCAGAGTCCAACCCTTAAGGGAGGAAAATGTTAAAGAGTTTGGCTCTAGAGTATCCTAGCTCACAGGCTAGAGTGCAGAAAAAGACTTCTAGCCAGTTACACTGGAACCTAGACAGACTCTCCTATAGGAATCCAAAATGTGAAGATGGGAGACGGGAGTCTAAAGTGAAACCCTATGCTTCTGGTGTAGATGATCAAGAGATGAGTAGTAGAACCACTTTCAGGGATAGAAAACACAAAAGATTGGACAGAGGGTGAATACAGGTTTGAATACATTGTGTTGGAGGTAAAGATGAATGTCACATACAGATGAATATCAGGTATACATCTGCAGTTCAGGAGAGACTAGCAGATTTCCTTTACCTGGAGAACTACCTGATTTCACCTGGACTTCAGGATCAAAGGGATTTCTTAGTACTGATGAAATCAATTTAATTCACTCACTGTCTTCATGTTATTCTCTTGAAATGCTTCATTCATTTTTTAAATTCATCATTTTGTTCCTTTTCTTCATTTTAATCATTCATCATCCTTCCTGAGATATAGGCCTGGAGGCAAAGGCAATAATGTATATCAAAGTGCTTTGAAAAGCTCAAAATACTCTTTAGATCCTATAATGAAACAGATCATTATTTGTTGCTGCTATTGTTATGGTGTTATGATT